GCATTTTCATCCATCTTTGATCATTTTCTTATCACCCAAAGGGAGCACTTTATAAAATGGTAAAATATATGACTCTCACTAAGGCAAGACAATAAGCCATCTTGGATTGATCTTTTATTAGTTATTCAGAAAAAATGTGATTTTAAATTAGCTTTATTTGTAAGTAATGGTGTTGTGTCTTATCACACATGCATCTAATATGTTACAGTAGATGCTGTACCATATAAGCATTGAAACAAGTCCAAGTTCAAATAAGTTTGGAAAATAATACATTTTCAATTCTCCTGTTGCAGATTCATTACATACTTTGTTATATTGAAGTTTTAAGAAAGTCTTGATGTTAAAAAGGAAAATCTAACTTTTTTTCTTCCCATGCTATCTCAGATTTTATTCTCTCAGATAGTCTATTAATATGTCTAAAGACAGCATAATGTGATTTATTGTACAACTCAGAAGTACGTATGCCAGAGTCCTCATATGCTTCAAGACACCTAAAGACAATCAGGGCAGAATGGAGGCAGCAAGGCTAAGAATAATGAACGTGCAGACATGAACTTCTGTGCTCAGTCTCTGATGCTGGATTCCCCTCCCTTCACAATCACCTCACCAAAAAAAAGGGGGGCATTTTCTACTCAATGTAGAATTTTACTATGATTAAATGTTTCAAGGAGCAAAAGTCTCTTAGGTGGCAGAGACAGTAAGTAGTAAAGCTCTTAATGAGACTGAGGACGTGGGATTGTTAGAGGAGGCCGAGCTTTTACCAGACTGCTGAGTGCGATGTCCAGAACTACTGAAGGACAGACATAAACCTGCACTAGCAATGCAGCTCAATGGTAGAAGAAACCTTGCCTAGCATGCATAATGGTGAAAGCTTAATTTACTAGTTAGTTGTTCATTAAAACTACTTATTAATGGGACTGGAGAAATGACTCAGCGGCTAAGAGCACTGGTTGCTCATCCAGAAGAACCTGGGTTCAACTCCCAGCACCCACATGGTAGGTCACCAACTATCTGCAATTCCAATTCCAAGCAATCTGGCAACTTCACATACACGCAAGGAAAGCACCAATACACATAAAAGAAAAATCTTTTTTAAAAACTACTTATTCATGATAGATCACTATGACTTTTAAATATATAATGTTCAAAACCTGAACAAAAAAATGTTTCTATTCTAATCTTAGAACTTACGCATGTATAAATGAAAAACCAGACTCTGGAAATCCAAATAAATTCTCAGCCATGCATACATGAACTTACTGAGAAAGGTCTCCTTAGTAACAGATGCATAGTGTATATTTTAAAGCTAAATTTATAGATTTTTGTAGTGAGATAATATGATAGTATGATCAAATATCAAGCACGAAAATGTTAGATTAAAATTGTGACAGAAGTAAAGAGAGGTCTAGGTATCAATATAAAATTTCTAAGAAAGAACTTCATTTTTATTAAAAAATGTTAGCTACCAAATTGCTGTGTTCACACTGACTATTTTAAAAACTCATGTTAAAGTGTGTGGAAATCATCCCCTTTGTAACTAATAAAAATGAAAAATGTGTTTGAATTTAAAAATGTATAAAGTGATGAATCTAGCTTCTCCAAAATACTAAGACTCCAGGTAAGAGTTTAAAGACAGCATACATTCATAGAGTTAGGAAGAACACTTCAGTGATCTTCTCTTTCTACTCAAGGACTTCTAACTTGTACACAACACTCTAAAAATAGTAAGATATATTATGACAAAGGTTGTGTCTTCTTTTGAGTTCTTTTACATTCATTGTAGACAATCCAGTACTATGGTAGTTTACATACCATCTCAGGATTTTGAACTGTACTACCCAGTCAGAACTACATTCTCTGAAGTAGATTAGAAACTTTAAAAAAAATCACCCTAAGAACTTCAAACAGTGATCTAGTGACATTGCATTTAGTTGAGTATTAAAAATTTGGGTTGCAGTACAGTGAGTTTATTTCTGCTTTTTAATACTCCTTTCTTACTAATCCATCACAATCTGGATAATTGTTTTTCATCTAAGATAATATTCTAGTCAGTACACAGCCCATACTTTAACTCTTGGCCAACTGGTGAATCAGCGGGCTCAGTATTGCTGAACGATTTCCAGCCAGTGTCATGTTTAATGCAGTGCTGAATGGGCATCCCTATCTCAGGCATTATACTGTAGGTTTATTGAATAGGATGTTTGGTTTTAGTAGATACAGCAAAGTAGCTCCACTGAAAAAGTTGAAACAGGCTGCTCATTTCCCTAAACCGTCTCACTATAGAAATTAACAGGCTCTTGACTTGTCTACAATACCAAGACATCGCACATATACCCACAAACTAAAGGCTTTGCTTAAGGGCCATCCTAATGGGACCATCATGATTTTCTTACAGCTGAATTACCCTCTTCCAGCATTTCTCAGTTTAAACTTTTATCTGCAGTACTTAACTACCTTCTGTTGTTCTCTTCCCTTACCCCGGCTGTAGAGTACAAATGGCAACAGATTTTTATTTGTTCGCTGATGGGACATTTGTCTGGCACATGGTAGACCCTCACTTACTGAATGGTCATGGCAGTGTTTCAATACTCATTTTAGTAATAGTTGTTCGTGATGTTTCTCTTTTGATCCGTCTGCCTCTGGTTTAGTACATACCTCACCTACGCTGATAATATATTTAAAAGTAGCCACAACTCCTTAGAAACACTATACCCTAAAAACACTTTTGTTTGGCTACTAGCAGACTTCTAGGAGAAACAAATGAATGCCCCTTCCTATTCTAGACTCCCAGGGCGGTTAATTATGAAAAGTGTGGATCCTGGCCAGGGCTGGCAATCGGATCTCCACCTTGCTTATTTTAGCCCTTCCCTTCCTGTTTCTCTCCTGTCACGGCCTAAGGGACCTAGAACAAGAATCAGTCCTACTAAAGTAGAACCTACCTAAGCAAATGAGGGCTTACCCACTGATCTTACCCACACCAGACCCAACACATCTTCTCCCAGTCCTTTAGCCCCATGCCCTTTCCACTTACTCTACTTGTTCAAACAGAGAAATGAACATCAAGTTTCACTGTTTTCCTTGGGCTGTATTTCAGATGTGTAAGAGGTACAAACTAAAGGAAAACAACGGGTAGTGATTTAATTGTACAAAGCTAGAGTTGCTCATTCTATAAACAGCTACAACATAACCTATTATGATAGGTAGCATTTTGGTGATAAGTATGAAAATAGTTACTATGCTTTACTTTTCTCAAAATCAGTAATATCCATGCTTTTCAGTGGCATGGAAGATCTGTACCTGATGCAGGCACGGTATTTTTTTTTACCGAGACACAGTTTTTCTGTTGTAGCTCTGACTGTTCTGGTACTTACTCTAAAGACCAAGCTGGCCTCAAACTCAGAGTTCCACCTGCCTCTACTTCCCAAGTGCTGGAATTAAAGGAGTGTACCTCCTGCCAATGCCCAGCTCAGGCACAGTGTTTACATTGTAATATTTTTAACAGAAAATATTTGGTGGTTATATTTAGTTTAATTGGTGCTATGCAATCCTATCAGCCTTCAACCCAACCTCGAAGAAAAAAGCTGCAGTTATTAGGTACTAGGTGTAAATAGCAAGGAAGAACTGTCATAGGAGCTCTGCGTCCTAAAGAAATTGCAGAGTAGACTTACCTCATACTCAATTTATGAGGAGTTGCTTTCCTGCCCTATTCCTTACATCATCTTCTCTCCCTTACAGAGCAGAGAGAACAGGAATAAAGTCTGAAAATAAGCTCCCCAAAGCAGATAGAGGTTTCTTGAGAACCTCGACATTCCAGAGTAATTTGAGAAGATAACCAACTTGAAAGATACAAAGTATCCTTTTATTAGGAATGTCAAAGCAGTGGAACAAGAATGACAAAAAACAGAAGCAGCTTCACTTGGCTGTAATTAATTTGCAGTGGGTGGGAAAGGCAGGCACCAAGCCAGCATCACCACTTTATAAATAATAAGTCTTGGTGGTAACGTTGTGAAAGACGGTAGTAAGGTTGCATCAGTGTGGTCAAACGTCACTAAATGGGTGGCATTGTCTGGAAAAGTATATTTAGGAAGACATCATTCTACAATTTGATCCACAATACTTAGAGCATACAGCATAGCAGTAATCTGGGATAGAACACGTGGAGCAAGGGTTACTTTATACAAATAGCATGTGCTTAGATAGCCCTAACAATACTAATATGAGAGGATAGCCTGTTCTTTTATCATCTAGGATCTCAGTAGGACCACTACTTTTATATCTATATTCTGTAGCTTTTTGGCCCACTATGCTGCTTCTGTACAGATTATAGCTGTGCATCCAGGAATTGAGCATTATATTTCCTGCTATATAGCAAAGGAATTGAAAAGTAGAAATAAGCTGTTTAAGAAAAAGACTGTTGGGACTGGAGAGATGTCTCAGTGGCTAAGAGCAGGAATTGCTCTTCTCAACACCCACATGGCAGGCAGCTCACCTCGCTCTAGCTCTAGCTCCAGAGGGCCCAACACCCTCACACAGACATGACATGCAGACAAAACACCTATGACCAGAAGATAAATATTTCAAAATATATTCCTGAAAAACAATGTTAGGAATTGCTTGCCAGCTACCTCCGTTTCTACCTCCCTTTTCAGATGGTAATTATGTTGGTAGTGTTTCTCCTCAAGAAAAGCAACCAGTGAACTAACATGACTTAGATATAAAATGTCTTTTCTCAACTAATTAAAAGACAAAAATTTTTTTTTTTCCTAGGACGGGAAGTGGCAATGCTTGATATCCTAGTTACTCACTACTCAGTAACAATTGACAAGATCTATATACACCTAAGATGTCTTGCCCTGATTTTCAGGAAAGAGGATCACAGAAAGCTAATGAGAAATTCATGCATATAATGTAGTTCACTTTCTATAGGAATTGTGGTTTCAGTTATGGTCTCTAATAGTATTCTTTGAGAAGTTTAATGTTGTAATTGATTCTCATTGAAGGAGCAAAAGCACTGGATCCAGCTGTTTACAGATGGCGGAAGTGAAGTCGATGTTCCGAGAAGTCCTTCCAAAACAAGGTATATCTCACAAGTATTTGGGTCCTAGGCTACTGGAGATTTACAAGGGGATGGACAGTATGACATAGCTAATACCTGCAGCTGTACTATGCTGGTGTTTGCCTCAGGTATTGTACTCTTCTCCCACACTATTCATGAGGAAGCTGTAAAACATTCTAACTTTTCTCAATAAAGGCTATCTAAAATTAAGTGCTGTTTCTTTTTAGAAACCCTATACTCAATGCAGGGTACAATGTGAAATTGTCAAGTGGAATTAATTCAAAGGAAGATTAACAGTTGGGGAAAGTAACCTAAGTCAAACTTAAGTTGAGCATTCATGTTAAACAGTGCACCTTGCTGTATTTTTATGTTGTATATATTATACATCCAATTAAACATTTGGCCCAAACAGCTACATCATATGGTAACAGAAGAGTATAGTGTCCAAGTCCAGCTCCTATTGCCTGGCCCTGGGGTGTAGAGAATGTGGCTCATGGACTACTGCTTTGTCAGTCCAGGAGCAGACACTTCTTCACTGACAGTAAGATTTTAGACTTACATTCTAGTTGCAAATCTAAATCACTGGGTATCTTCCTCAAATTAATTCATTTCTTATTTCTTATTAATAGGGCAGTTGTCTGTGGAAGATGTAACCACGATGGTGCTGTGTAAACCCAAGCTTTTACCCTTAAAATCTCTGACTCTGGAAAAACTGGAGAAAATGCAGCAAGCAGCACAGGATACAGTCCGCCAACATGAAATGGCAGAAAAAGGCAACCGGCAAATAACCCACTAACCACTACCACTTTAAAGGACGCCCCATTTTAATCCCTAACTGTTCAGTAACTAGAAACTATTCTGCATCTGTAGGCTAGAAATACTTAAACTGGACATTCAAATTTTTTAAACACAAAATTTGGGTGTTTTAAACATTGGTTTGTTTTAAAAGGAAATCTTTGAACCAAGTTTTATGGAATTTTGAAAGTTTTTTTTTTTGTTTGTTTGTTTTTTTTTTTTTTTTGGTTTTTTCGAGACAGGGTTTCTCTGTGTAGTTCTGGCTGTCCTGGAACTCACTCTGTAGACCAGGCTGGCCTCGAACTCAGAAATCCACCTGTCTCTGCCTCCCAAGTGCTGGGATTAAAGGCGTGCGCCACCACCGCCCGGCGCATAAGTTTCTCACCTTATTCACCATACTATTGTTATAAATGTAAAAACTTAAATGCATCCTTTACGGATGAAGGATTTCTTTGTTTATTAGAAACCAGAGTCTGAAAATACACTCTAATGTGAATATATTGTTGGGCTTGTACATTACCCAAAAATAAACCAATTGTGTGCCACATCGTGTTTACTGCTATGTAACCTGACCAATGACAGCAGTAACAACTAATTGGTCTATTATAAACTAAAAGCTCATGGAACTAAGCTCTCAACTACACTTATTTTAAGAAATACAGAATTACATAACTGCTACTCAAGTACCAAAAAAAAAAAAAAAACCAACCTGAAAATGCTTTTTATAGCAAAAAACTCAAGTAATATGAGCCTAAAACAGCCATCAAGTTTGAACACCAGAGGGTTTTCTTTCTAAATGATGGTACCTAACCCTGTAACCAAGGAACTATTTTGAAAATTATAAATGGAATGATTTTGCTGCAGTCACCAGATAACTCAGTTACCACAGATCTTGAAACCTTGCTAAGTTAATGAGGCTTTATAAGAGGCTAGTAATGTGATCCCTGTAAGGTAACTTATTTATTGGTAGTTATATATTGGTTATTTAGATAAATGTAAAGCTTTAAGTACTTAAGAGAATTTTTTAAACATGTTAACAGAATATAAAAGTAAGATCTGTCTATATATCAGACAAATCTCACTCATTAAACTTCAGTTATACTAATAAACAAGATTAAAGTGTATGTGTATGTCCCTAGTATAACCTTAAAAGGCCTTTAACTATTTAAAAATTTTGATTTTTATGTCTGTGTGTATGCCACTTGTGTGCAGGTGCCCGTGGAAGCACAAGAAGACATCTGATCCCCTAGACCTTTATTCTCAGCACTCAAGATACCAAAACAGAAAGACTACCATGAGTTTGAGGACAGCCTGCACTACTTAAAAAGTTATCAGGCCAGCCAGAGCTATAGAGAGAGGTTCTGTCTCAAGAAACACTGAAACATTTTTGTTTGTTTTGCATTGTTGGGATTGAACACAAGGCCTAGTAAGGTTTAGACAGGAAACTTAAAAGAACTTTGAAAAGACAAAATAAATGTACTCCCACTAAAGAATCAACAGTGTTTCACATGTTTTATTTTGTTGTACATTCTTGTAGAACCAGGTTCGTTTTTCCAGTTTTGTAGAAAAATAGATGTTCCAGCCACCATTTACTTAACTGTCTAAGATTCAAGACCAATCAATATATTCCCTGGAAAGATGAAAACGTCTCATGACTAACTCGTTTTTTTTTTTTTTTTAATTCTTTAAAAAAAAAATCTGTGTCTGTGTGTGTGTGTGTACATGTATGTATGTGTGTGTGTGTGTACACGCGTGTTTTTACTCTCAAAGCACAGCATTTCCACAGCAGCAGCCAACACGGGGTTTAGTAGCTTCACTTCACCCCTAACTAAAGCTTTGTATAAACCAGTGATTTTACTACAAAAAACACTGTCCTTGAAAGAAAGGAGTGGCAGTCATACATGAATGCAAAACTTGGAATGATTAGGTCATAAACATGGCACTTAGAAAAGTAGCTTATCAGAACATCCCACACTTAGGTGGTTACTCTTCTTTCCCTCCTTTAATTTCCCCTCAAAGGAAAAAAAAAAAATACTTCCTTCAAAAATTCCCATTAAATGTAAGTTTATAAAATTTTAGAAATGCCTTGTACCCAAAACAAATTCTTTAAGAAAGAAAGAAAGAAAGAAAGAAAGAAAGAAAGAAAGAAAGAAAG